CCAAATATGATCTCCTATGATTATAGTTGCAAAATGTTAAATTCTACCCTTCTAAAGACTCGTTTTCCTACTTAAAGCTAATGTTGTGGGAGCTGTATTTTCTAAGTTTTAGTTTGTTTTATGGGTTACATCTTGTTCACTGAAAAAATAATAATTACAAGAATGAATTAAATAGATTTTAATTTTTTGTATTTTAAAAAGTATATCAAATTAATTTTGACTACATTAATTAATTAACTATTACATAATTTTGAATTGATCTAAAATTCTGTAAAGATAATTTATTTAGTAAGTATTTTAATATGACAACTGATTTCAAAATAAAATTCTCTAATAAAAATTTAAATAATATAATTATTAATATAAATGATATTAATTAAATTTGATTGTCTTTTTATTAGATGTTACAATAAATAAACTCAAATAACGAAATGTTGAAAAAAAAGGCAGTTTATCTTATAATTTGTCTAAATTTTTTATTGTAAATAAATAAATAAGAAAAACGTTAACAATATATTCTCCCTAACACATCATTTATTATTAGTTAAAATTTATTAAAAACTAAAAGATATGAGAGATAAACATTAATTTAAGACTGAGAAAGAGCTACCCACATTATTTTTATAGTTTTTAATAAATTTTAATCAATAAGAGGTGTGTTACAAAAGAGCTATCCACATATATTAGAGAGTGTGCTGTTAGCATTGCTTAAATATATAAATATAATATATATTATTTTAATTATATAAATTTTTATGCTATTAAAATTAATAATTTGACTAAAATAATTAATATAAAAATAACTGTAAAAAAAATAATGTAATCAAATCTGAATAAAGGAAAAAGAGAATCGAAGATGTATTGTTTGACAACATCAAATATAAAAGCAATGAGAGGTCTATGTTTCCTTCTTCTACATCTAAGCATAAAATTCTTGAGATTTTTCATAAAGGTTTCACTTTATATATATGCATGATTTTTTTCTATTTAATTTATATTTTATTATTATTATTATAAATAAAAGATTTTTTTTAATCGATTATGAACGTACTGATTTAAACTCTAAAATTAATTTTATGATTTAAATTCTTCATAAAAATTATTTAGAAACCATTATTTTTTTTTTATAGGCAAAACAAATCTTATTAAAAAGAGTTCAAGGGGAACTCAAAATCCATATACACAAAAAATTACTTACTCAGAGAAATAAAAAGCAAAAATATACTTATGCAAAATTAAGACAGATGGAATTTCGTGGGTTCAAATACCAATCAGCTAACATAATAGCTTTTCCCTTACTAACAAGTGATAACCATTTCCCGGATCTCAAAATAATAGAATCTAGGACTTCCCTTTCATCCAAAACACCATTGGAAAATATAATTCTATTTCTATGCAACCACAAAGATCACATTGTACTTACCCAAATAATTAATAAGCATATTCCTTCTCTTTTACTACAGCCAACACCAACACAAGAAAGCAAGTGATTCGATAAATCTGAAGGCAAAACCAGTGAGAATCCAAGTCAACGCGCAGTAAAGTACCAAATTTGAGATGAAACTGAGCACGTTAAAAATAAATGAGTTGGAAGTTCCTCCAAACCATGACAGAAACAACAAGTTATATCAAAACTTGTTGGATTTACTTTCTTTTAAAACAAAACTACAGAGTTATAAAAATATATATTTTAAGTATAAATTCATAAAATATATTTCTATAATATTTTTATAATTTATATATATATATATATATATATTATAATTTCAATTATATTTACAAGCGTTCATACTATTTAGTAACTAATAAACAATGGATAACATAAAGTCCTTGAATTAAAAAATACTAAAAATTTAATTTCTTCAAAATATGCAATATATATATATATATATATATATATATAATATTAAAACAATTCAAATAAAAAATCATAAATCAGCTTTCTATCATATGTTTTTTAATTTATATGTTTTAATATTTCATTTATATTTACTTCAATTAGTAAAGAATAAAAGTTTAATACTTTCAGAATATCTCAAAATTAATTTATTTGGATATTAATAGCGTTATTTAAAAACTTTTAAGAAATAATTTTATTATTTTGTCAAATATCATATACCGAAGACAATCTTAATTGCTTTGTTTAAAACTTTTCGTTAAATAATCTTTATTTATGACTAATAACTATTCAAAATTTTAATTGAGACTTGAATAATAGATATGTATAATTATATGATTAAGATTTACTTCTCTTATATTAGGAAAGAAAAATCATCTTATAAAACACATTCTTACATATGATATATCAAATGAGTGTGCTTTTTTCTTCCCTGAAACAACTCAAAGTTAACAAAACATTCTCTGTGTGTAACACTTCAAAGTTCCAACACATTGAAAACGACCCACCCAGAAACAAACATTTTTCCACATATTATAAGTTTGGCTAATTACAGAAAAGAAAAATTAGGCCCACCGTACCTTACGCCCACCGAAAAGGACCCATTCCTAAACAATGATATGCAAAATAATAATAATTTTTTATGGTAACTAATTATTATTGTTAATTTTATACTAAATAATAAAATTAGTGATTTATTAAAAAAATATATAAATATTTTTAATTTTAAAGACAGATCACAACTATTATTTAAAGGAAATATATAAATACTTTTTTAAGTCTACGGGTATTATAATAATATTTTTATTATTATTAATCATTCAATTTTATCATTTTACAACTGTTGGTCATTTATATTTTTTTCTTTTTAATTTTAATTTTTCATCTTTTTGGAAAAGAAATTGCTGAACTAAAAGATTAGATGGTTCCAACACTGCTTTATCACCGTAGTAGTAGATTGTAACTTTAAATAATTTTTATTTGTAACGCTAGAAATTTAACTTGAATTTTAAAATTGTAACTTAAAAAGTACCTTATAGTTCTAAGCAATAGCTGTATTATTTCATAATCATATTAGATATGAATTTATATTACACAGTGCATGATAAAATGTACTAAATCTATTCAAATCACTTCGATAAAATAATTTAAAATTTGAGTTCAAATTAAATTTATTTATTTATTTTTGCTGAATCTAGTTAAATCGAATGTGAGCTTTGGTCGCAATTTTTAAAAAAAATTATAGTTTAAATTAAATTCAAAATTTTTAAACTTTGGTCACTGAATTCACCGATTACAAATGAGTTAAGTAACTTGTTTTATCAACTCAATTGTACGGATATTTGGACCATTATTTTAAATTACATTCTTACAACTTTTTATGCATTTTTTTTTTAACTTTTACGTTAATATAAATAATAATTAAACATATTTTCACATTTTTAATACATTTATTATGCTTCACCATTAAAATATATTGTTTTACGGTTAAATGTTATATTTAACTTTTTATATTTTATTTTTATAGTCATATATTGTGTCTTGTAACATTTTAAATTTTTTGGTCTCTTAATATTTGTCTCATATTGTATCCTTGTCTTATACAGAGATAATCTCACAACTTAACTTTTGAAAAATTATAGTCAGAAGACAAAATAGGAAATTAGACACACATGCATGTACTTGGGCACAAATTTGTCGTGTTGGATAGCAGTCACTAGTTGGGGTCTCAAAAGTTCACAAGATCTCTTGCCTTTTTGGGCACACCAATGTCACCATATACCATCATTATCATTTCTCGCCCACTACCACTGCATACATCTTATACTCCATATTCAAGTATATCCTCCACCTTTACCTCTTTTGGCTTTCTTTTCCTTGTTACATAATTGTCATATATATCCATATATTATTTGAATGTCAGAATTTAATGTTGGAATTTTGGAATATTGCCTTGTGGAGATGTGTGGTTTAGTACTTGAAAGTTGAAATCTTGATCTGGGTTTGTTTTGTTGTGTCATTGCAACCCTTTTAAGTAATAATAAAGTGGTCCCTTTTTGTATCTTTCATCATTATTCAAGGTGACTTTATGAGCTTTTTGTGTCTTTTGCACCATTTTTCTTCTTTTTATTTGTAAGATAAGATCAAATGAAGAATTAACTCGGTTTTATGTTGTTCTGTTTTGCTGGCTGAAGTTTTGAGGGTAAAGGGGTAATGTGTTGCTTCTCTTCTCTCTCTCTCTCTCTTTCTCTCTCTTAAAAATGTCCTTCTCTTCTGTTTGTTCTATTTGTTGAATGGTTTATTAATCATGAATTTGCATGAAGTGTTTCTATAATTATTTTGGATTCTGAGTTGGTGGAAATTTATCTGGGTGGCATAAGGCATTTATAATGTTGGTTCTTTATCACAAATCTACTCTCCTATGTTGATGGTTCCTAGAGCGCTTCTGTGTTAATTTCCTTTTTGGTTCATATTGGAGCTGAATTCTGGTTGTGTGGTTAAGGTTGCTCTTTTTTCTCTTTACCTTAGATCAAGCATGAATCAGTTTTAAATTTCTCTTGATTTTGGAAATTGTTTTTAAAAGCAACGCTTGTCTGCTATAAGATCTTCTTTGGCTTCTTTTTCATTTGGAAACATGGTTTCCTTGGATCTCTCTGGTGAATTGCTGCATTATTTGTTGAAACCAGATTGTGCATTGTTAATGGCCATTCAATGATGTTAAAGTAATGGTTCTTTTTCGTTTGGAAACATGGTTCTCTTGGATGTTGGATCTCACTTTTTTTGTACTTGCACCATTATGGGTTCCTGTTAAATAAGGCAAAGTTTAGAGTCTTGAGGGTGTATGTTTAAAATAAATTTGTGGACTTGGCTAAGTTGCATTTCATCATGGCTTCAATGTTAGATTTGTTTGAAACCATAGGGACTAGTTGCATTTTCTAACTAGTAACTATTCATCACAGTTAAGAACATGAAATTTTATTTTACTATTTGATAATTTAATCTGTGGATAAAATTTTGTTAAGAACTGATTCTGATGTGCATTTCAGATATTCTTCACAATTGAACAGCAATTTATTATAAAGTTTGACCAGCATAGAGGATGAATGGGCAAATATTTACACGCCGAGTGGGTAAATATGATATAGGGAGGACCATTGGTGAGGGAACATTTGCAAAGGTGAAATTTGCAAAGAACACTGAGACCGGGGAGCCTGTGGCTCTCAAGATTCTAGACAAAGAGAAGGTTCTCAAGCATAAGCTGGCTGAGCAGGTAGTTTAAGGCCTTTCCTCTGTTGGACTACGGTGTATCTTGATTTTCACTTTTACTCTACCTTTCCATTTACTATTAAGGCATAGAATTTATGTCATTATTGCTTCCTCATATATTCCAAAAATCTTTCAAGATTCTTTAACATACTTTTAGGTTACTGATTTCAGACTTCAAATGTGTCTTCCTCTTTAAAGGGAATTTCGTGTTAGAATACATCTTTTATAATGTAGTTTCCATAGACCCACACATGGTGATGTTAAGTCTTTTTGATTTTTCTTGATGTACTTTTACAGATCAGGCGAGAGATAGCTACGATGAAGTTAATCAAACATCCAAATGTTGTTCAATTATATGAGGTCTATCTCTCTCTCTTTGACACTAGGCACACAACCAACATCTTGTCTCTCACTTCGTGTACAAATTTATTTTCTCTTTTTGTTTAAAGAACAGATAAACTCAAGACTCAAATCTTGCTGATGAAATTAGCTGTCAACTCTGTTATGTGTTCAACTTATAACTTATCGGCCTATGTTTTGAACTCTTTATTTTATAACTATCAATGTTGCATGTATTCTTCTCTTTAGTTTATCCTTGCGTGAACTTGTGTTGTTTTTTTCAAAGCAATAGGTGGCAGTATCTGGACATAGAACTTAACACAACTGACTGTTTAACTAAGAATTTAGCTTACAATGTTAGAAATTAGTTAGGACTGTTAGTAGTTAGTTTATTTTATGGGCTATATAAGCTTCCTATTTCTTCTTGTAATTCAACTTTTTTCACTCATTCAGATTAATACAAATTTACTTTTCTTCCATTTTATTTCTATTATTTTCTCTGGGCCATGTTTTTTGTTTTTGACATACAATTCCAGAAATTTCTCAAGTATCATGAAGTGGAACAATATTTAATTCCAAAGGAGGCTAAGAAAAGTAGCCTCTTTGACTTGAGGTTCTAAATACATTTATCGCCATTATATTCAGAGACTATGTTTCTTAATAAATTCCTTAACTTCATCCTTTTTATCCTAGGCTGAATTTTTATGCTAATTCATCTTAAATGGTAAGAGATGAGGACATTAATTTGTCACCAGGTTACTTCAACTCATTAAAGGATCTTTTTACTTTCTCATATACTTGTAATTTTGTTATATTTCCTTTCCATACATCATATATACAAAGCTGAAACTGGTGTTCAGTTCTTTTTCCTTAAATAGAGATCAGCATGTACTGTTTCCCCCCATCCTTTTCTTTCCTTTCCCAGCTTTTCTACGTGGATTTGAGATGGACAACAATGAATCACCCTTCTATATGTGAAGTCAGGGTCCGATCTGATAATCTCGTCTCAAATTCTCAATTTTATTTTGCACTTTTGTCCTTACTGGTGAACTTTCCATCCATGAGGCCTACATGATTAGTTTGTGGATGGGATATGAATTTTTTAAGACAAAAACATTAGCACCTAATTGATGATATAAGGTGAATGTGATAATCAGAATGGCCTTACTCTGATCATGCCAAATCATTACTCAATTTAGAGAGAATGATTCTGGTCTGTTGGATTTAAGGACTATAACACATTTATTTGGCCAATGTTGTCAATCATTCTCTGCCACTTTTGGCTTTAAAACCTCAAAAACTGATTTGCACATATGACAAGAGAGCTAAAGAATTAGAATAAATACCTTATTTAACAAATTGATTCTCCTCTAACAAACACTATTTTCATTCCATCTGATAATAAAAGAACAAAGATGAGAACCCTTGTGTGCAATTTCAAATTTTCTGATGGTGCTGTTTTATTTGCTGAGTCTCTAGCATTCACATCAGTGCATAGTATCCAACTAAAATGGAAATTATTTCACTAGGGAGTAGAACTGTGATTACAGACAAGAAACCAAATTATTTCTCAACACAGTTATTTTGTTGCTAAATTCATTTTCTGAAAGTGCACGTCATATAATTTCATATAATGTTTGCAGGTCATGGGGAGCAAGACAAAAATATATATTATTTTAGAGTATGCTATTGGAGGAGAACTCTTTGACAAAATTGTGAGTAAATGTTTTTTTTTTTTTTTTTTTTTTTTGGTATTTTGGTTATGATATCCTTTCATTTTCAAATGGTTCCATAACCTGTTCAAGAAATGGAAATGTGAGACATTTTGGGCATCTTTTTGTTCTCCCACTCTATTTAGCTTGTGATTCTATATTAGTGTTTTTCTACCATAGTAAGGTGCTTGGAAAGCTTATGGAAATAACTTATAGCTCCCATAAGCTCTTTTTCGTTTATTTCAATAAGCTTCTCAGTATATCTTATCAAAATAAACTCTTCTCAGCATATTTCAAGAAGTTTTTTAGTCAAATCTATGGCATGAGCCTGCATGTAAAAAGAGCTTATTGAATAAACGTTTAATTAAGCTGTGTTTCCAAATGCATCAGTCAATGAATTACTTCTTTGTTGAAGTGGAGAAAAGTGTTTTAAAATTGATTTTATGTTGTGAAGGTAAACAATGGACGAATGGGTGAAAAGGAAGCTCGTAGGTACTTCCAGCAGCTTATAAATGCTGTTGATTACTGCCATAGCAGGGGTGTGTACCACAGAGACCTTAAAGTAAAGCTCTTTCAGCCAACTAACAATATGCATAGGCCTGAACAATTTATTTGTGCTTGATTTAAGAAGAAAGGATCTCTTACTTTAGTTTCATGGTGTTTCATAAACTTTCTGCAGCTAGAGAACTTGCTATTGGATTCTTCTGGTAACCTAAAAATTTCTGATTTTGGATTGAGTGCACTTTCCCAACAAGTCAGGGTAAGAATGATTCATTGCCTTCTGAATTTAATTTGAGTAAAATATCAATTGGGTTCCTAAAATTGGGACCACTGGTCAATTTAATCCTTGATATCATGAAAAAGCAAATTTAGCTGTGACTTCGGTTATAGTTAGTTAATTCTGTTCTTGATGTTGGTGTGCATTAGTCAATTGGGCCACCTAATGTTAGTGTGGATCAGGGACCCAATTGGATGATGGTTGTAAAAAATCAGAACTAAATTTACTTTTTCAGAATTTTAGGGAACAAATATTCGCTTGTGGAACTTACAACAACAACAACAACTATTCACTTAGGGAACTTAGTCTTGAAAATTTGAATGTCAAAACACAAGCATGTTAGTTTTCTGCAAAACAAAGTTGTCCCAAATCCTATCCAAGTAACTGTTCTTCCCTTCTTAGCATATCTAATGGTTATGAATTGAATATATTTTTATAATGGCAGTGTAGGTTCAATCGGTTAATATAAATACTTCTGAAAAGGGTTGATTTGTAATCCACAAACTGGCTGTTTTGACAGGATGATGGACTGCTCCATACTACATGTGGAACTCCAAATTATGTTGCTCCTGAGGTGCAGATAGTTGTCATGTCATGCTCATTTCTTGTGAATTGCATGCAAATTCAAAATTTCAGACATTTAAAATCTATCCTGTAATCATATGTTCTTGTTACTTAGGTTCTTGATGACGGAGGCTATGATGGGGCAGCTGCAGATTTGTGGTCATGTGGTGTGATCCTCTTTGTATTGCTTGCAGGTTACTTGCCTTTTGATGACTCTAATATTTTGAACCTTTATAAAAAAGTGAGCATTTTTGTGTATTCCATTGCATAATTTTATTATTGTCCTATATTTCTGTTCATTACATTTGTTTCTTGGTTTGCAGATTTCAGCTGCTGAATTTACTTGCCCCCCATGGTTTTCTTTTAGTGCCAGGAAATTGATAACTAGAATCTTGGATCCCAATCCTGTGACGGTAAGATATAGTATTTGGCTTTTTGTTTACATTGTTTTATAAATTGCACGTTTGTTATGACTTTTCAAACTGCCTTAGGCTGTGTCATTTGATCACATGTGTGCTGTGTTTTTTTGTTACTCCTTCAGTTTTATTTTTTATTACATAAACCACTGAAATTTTTAACCCGTCGCTGCAAAATGACAGAATTTATAAACCAAAGGAAAGAAAAAGTTGATAACTTTTCATACTAGTTCCATTGTTACTGTTATTGTTTCATTACTAGCAAGATTTTAGTCTGAATTTCTGATTTTCTGTAACTGTATGGCAGCGAATTACTATACCTGAGATTTTGCGCGATGAATGGTTTAAGAAAGACTATAAACCCCCAGTTTTTGAGGAGAAAAAGGAGGCCAACCTTCGTGACGTAGAAGCCATCTTTAAAGATTCTGAAGTATGTTGATGAGGGACAGATGATTTTGGTATTTGTTTTTGGAGAGTATTGCAATATACACACGGGTTTTTTCATATTAAGGATTTTTCCCAAAAATGCAGGTGCACCATGTAAAGGAGAAGAAGGAAGAGCAGCCAACATCTATGAATGCATTTGAATTAATATCCTTGTCCAAAGGGCTGAATCTTGAAAACTTGTTGGACATAGATCAGGTTTTCAACTTCACAACAAAAGATTATATTTACTATTATAATGAATCTCTAGAATCCATTGTTTTTTCTCTCTAATTCTCATCCACTAGGAATCTGATTGAGATGTGGAAAAGATTTCCAGATATCAAGGAAAGAAATGAGTGTAGCCCAACAGGCATGTCTCATTGGATATTCAGGTTTTTTTTTTTTATTATAATACTAAACATTATCATTTATTTTAGAATATATAGTGAACCATAATTTTGTTGATTAGATAGTGATCAGGCTACAAGTTAGGTACTGGTTATTAGGATAATCAAATTAGCTTCTAGTTAACTCCTAATCAAGCTATAAGAGAGATCAAGTGTGAAGCCTCTAGACACATTTCTCTCAGTAAAGATCTCTTTCAACATTTTTTGTTATTCATAAATCCATTTGCAAGTGTGAAACGTTTAACCTTATTTAGGATTTAATAACAAAATATAAAATACGGTAAAGCATGCAGTATTACCATCTATATTTCAACATATTGAGTTATATATAAAAAGAATTAGTTAACTTAATTGAAACTTGACTCTGGTTTGGATGAGATTGAGAATTTTTCATTTGCTAGGCCAATTTATGATAAGGTTTCTTGCTGTATTAATATGTAATTTTAATCCAAAGTTATTGGTTGCAGGGATTTAAAAGGGAAACAAGGTTCACTTCAAAACGCCCTGCCAAGGAGATAATCAACAAGATTGAAGAAGCCGCAAAACCTCTTGGTTTTGATGTGCAAAAGAAAAACTTCAAGGTAAGCCAAACTTGTGCAAATTATTATGTAAGAGCATTCAGAGCTAATTCCTTAGTTAATGTTAATTTGTTTAATTAATAACTAATCACTCACAGATGAAGCTTGAAAATGTGAAAGCTGGAAGGAAGGGAAACCTCGGCGTTGCCACAGAGGTATATGAACATAATTTCTATTCTTTGGTGATGTGGAGCCTCATTTCCCATAATATTGTATTGATGGAGTTATAACATTTTAAACAGATATTTCAAGTGGCACCTTCTCTTCATGTGGTTGAGGTGCGGAAAGCAAAAGGCGATACATTGGAGTTCCTTAAGGTATCTTTGTGTATCACTTTTCATTTAATTGATTTTTGTACTCTCTGATTGCCACACTTTAAATAGAACACTTCTGTATTAAATTTTTATAAGCATATTAACTATTCTGAAAGAACCATAGAAGAAAATACTCTCCCCTTGATTGAATCATGCATTAAAATACGTTAGGGGTTGGATGGGATGAGGGTATCTCTGACATTAGGCATTTTACAAATTCTATTCATCATGTATTTGCTAATGATACCAGAAATAATGGATATGACTGTCTGGTTTGTGCTACGGCCACCTATTTGTGTGACATGGATTTTGACTAAATCTTGCTGTTATGAAAAACCTTCATTTTGCCTCTTTTCTGTATCTTCAGAAAGAGTAATTATGATATGATTTCAGTGAGTGAAATACTATTTACATGTATTTTTGTAATCTCTAAATGATATAATGTAACCTCAGTTGTGATCAACCCACAGCAGCAAGATCTCTGTTTATAATAACATCAAAATGATGTGGTTTACGCGGCTATTTTGTACTTAAAAGTTCTAATTGAAATGGATTTGTCTGTTTCACACCATGCAGTTCTACAACAAGCTTTCAACATGCCTGGAGGATGTTGTTTGGAAAACTGAAGATGACATGCAAGATGCAAAGTGATATTTGATATAACTACCAAGTTTTGTTTCTTGATGCTTAATAAAGTCCTACCATGTTCCAATTTCTTCATTGGTTTTTACTCCATCATCCTTTGTAGGTTTGGTTGTTCATGTTCCAATGTTTTCCATGAATTATTGTTGGAAAGCATCCAGTTTATGTTATCATATTACTTTTCAAATTTTGAACAGTTTGCTTGGAACAAGGAACATGAAAAACATAGAAATTGTATATATCTTCCTTTTGTTAATAATGATCTCTTTTCCATTTATTGCTATTTGCTAAAGTAATTGTGCATATTGCACCAACTGAAAACAGAAGATTGTGGAAAAAATGCTAATAATGCAAAATTATACATAGTAAAAAGAGCAAGAAAAGAGATCAGGCTCAGTTTATCAGTAATTGAATTTGTAATACCTGCATCCCATATTGTATGTGGAAAAGTCAAACCCTAGTTTCTCAGTCACTTGTGAGGGCTAATCATTACTATCAAACCAACACATTAAGAGTGGCTAATTAACTACATTTTGAAGACAAAAAATGGAAAACCATGGAATATAATTTTTATTTTTACAAATTTTCCACAAATTCACGGGCATGTCATTGGAAAAATTCTTGGTTTAATTGAACATTTTTTAGAATTGGTTTCAATGAGTCTATCTTGAAGTTTGCTTTGGTGTCATAGATTGCTTTCATATAAGTAAATACTACTAAATAGTGTCGTGTAATTTATTTTTGAATGTTATTTACCAATTGATTAAGACAAAACATTTTTATTTGAATTGTATAAAATAGAATAACTTTTATATGTTAAATTATCAAAGGGATATTAAACGACTGAAGAATTACTTGGTTGACGATGAAAGAGTATTATCTCCAACAGCTAATGGAAGTCTAAACATAATCATCAAAATGGTAAAATACATACCCTTTAGAATTTATGAAATTTTTTATTAATGAATGTTTAAGTGAAATGATTAAGAAACTTCTAATCAGGACTTTATTATTCATTATGCACACTATTAAATATTTGTAACTAATAAATATGTCGGGTAGTACACAAGTTTGTTTGTATTTTTATCAAATTATTTTATTTAAAATTAATTAAAAAGAATTACGACTTAAATATAAAGAAATATATGTTTACAAAAATATAAATTTATTATTTATTAAATGGTGATAATATTTTATTATATTAAATAATATTAAATGTAATTATACTATAGAAGATTATTAAACACTTCATTATAAATAATAATTTTTATATATTCTATATATATTTTTATTTTTCTCAACAATAAAGATTTTTATTCATGGTATTTTACATAATTAAACATGAATAAATATAAATTTTGTTAAATATAATTCAAATATAATTCAATAATTGTCCTTAACTTTTGTTTATTATTTTTACATACCATACTTTTATTGAAAATTGTTTTCTTCTTAAAAACTTACTTAAAAGATCACTTGTTATTATAACTACCTATAGAATGAGTACTTTATCACCAATATTACTTAAGTGTAATTATTTTTCTTTTAATTATCTACTCTCCTAAACATATAATAAGGTGTATTGTTTTATTGTACATTCTTAATGCAGGATTGATGTTTCTAACTAACGTAATTGAAATTTCTTTTTTGAGTTGTAAACAATGGTAAAAAAATTCATTAAAATTTAAAGTATTTTTACGAGATACATAAACTCTTATTTAATTATTTTATCACTTACTTAGTCAATTTTATCAAGTTTTATGATTTAATTATTAATATTTCAATAATGTCATTTAAAGGAGTATGTATGACTTTTTTTTTAAAGATATTTTTTATCTTGCATTTGTTGTTAGAAAAGATAACAATTATATAAGTTCAAAACAAAAAAAAATGTATTTATTTCATTAATCTCATAATTATTAAAAAGGATAATAAATATGAAAACTCTGTTAATGTCTACTGTAACACCTTAAATTTAATTTCAAATAAATAATAATTTTACAAATTCGTAATAATAAAAGTTTCGTAAAATATTTCAGAATAAGGGAAGAGTTACAAATTAATATCAAATAACTGCTACAGGACTAGTTCAATACAATATTTTCAAAATAAAATTTAAGTCCTATAACAGTTCATCTGTCCCTTCACTGAGTCCGGTGCTGATTTGATTACCTGAAAAATGAATGTAAGTATGAGTACTCTACACTACTCAAAACACAACAAGCATAGAGTCTCACCTTGCATATACTTCATACAATAGAAACATAAACAACATTTTCACACGTTTCATTTCAATTTATCACCGGTGCACTCATGGCACCAAATATTTATACACATTCGCGCGCTCACGGTACTGCCACGTTCATGGTGGCACTGTGATCATAGATTTTCACCATGAATGGTCTCTGGTTACCCCCACCTCACAGATACCAGGTGGGCAGTCACGGGTCGCTCAACAAAGGTAGTGGTCAGAGGTCTAGTCAGGAAGATAGTGTGTGGCCGTGGTGCACCCACTCCATTGTCGGTGTCACCACCACTCTCTTTTCTCCAAGGTATTTCTACCATCCCCATCTTCCACACCCCCAGCGTATCGTTAAACTATCCACAACACATTACACCAGCGTTAATCACGCCCCATTCACACACACTACGATATTCATTCACACACGCAATATTTATGCTTGCACACAACACACAGTCCCTGTTCATTCACAATACACGGCACATAGTCCACATTCATTTACAATACATGGCACATAGCCCACATTCATTTATAATAATGTTAATTCACCAATCAATGACATTCTATCACACACAATCACCCTATGGGATCTAACTATTCCAATACATATCACATTGCACATCAAATTCGATCAAACACACAGTCCCTATCCTCTATCTCAGCCATATTGCAATAATCAACAAAATACATAAGAATCACAACACATTGAGATAGGATTGAGTCCCCCCTTACCTCGGATCGAAGACCCACACGCTAAATCCACCAAGAAGCGCTTCCCTACATGAATTTTGTCCTAAACACATAGAGAAACTCCATGAGAACCCAAGGAAACTGAGAAACAGAGAAAGGGGATGAAAAATGAAAACCTTAACCATTAAAACTCACCTCTAAGCATTTCTTGCACAAATTCAACCTTCAATCTATCTTCTGAAAGGCTTTAGAGGCAATTTAATTGGTAGAATAGGGTTTTGGGTCGAGATAATCGAAAAGATTTGAAATCCCAATCCCTAAACCCCCTTTTAAAACTCCTCTGGTTGTGACACTCTCGCTACAACGACACACTCTCGCTGCAGTGACGCCTCCTATCGTTACAACAAAAATCTCAAACGAAATTGCACCATAGTTTCTACTGAATCTTGCTACAGCGAGACCCTCTCACTACAGCGAGATTGTACCCAGAAATGCAGCCCAAACTGTGGCTTTGTCGTTACAGCGAGAAACCTCTCACTACAGCGAGAAACCTCTCACTACAACGACAAGGCGACAGTTTCATCCTTCTCTCCCAGTGCTCTCTTGCTACAGCGAGAATTCTCTTGCTATAGTGATAAAGGCATAGTTTCATGCCTACGCCTAGGGGTCTCTTGCTACAGCGAGAATGCCCTGCTGCAGCATCCACACTTAGCCTATTTTCAGCCTAATCAATTCAATCTAATTATATATATAGACACACACACACATATCCACATACATTATATCCACAAACATCATCATTACGCACTCAAGTGCAGATTCCAACATCTCGTCACATTTACACATACATATATATATATATATATATATATATATATATCAATCAATAAATATTATTATAAAATTCGGGGTGTTACACTAGCAGCTGCGAATTATTTATATATCTTTCTTGATCATGATTTTCTTAGAAGACTAACTCAATTTACTGTTGAGCGAGTAACAGGTGTTGAGGTTGAGACTAATTCTGGATATCATTAAGAAGATAAGGACCTAACTTCAGAGGAGCTAGATGAGATAGAAGGTTGACATGGTGATAATGATTATGATTGGATCCTCAATGTTTTGGGTATGGACAGGAACTACTCTCAGGACTTAGTTTATTTTGATATTGTACTTATGTAATCTAAATACTACGATATTTTGTTAATAACCTGTAAATATTAAACCTTTGTATGTAAATGATGTAACACCCTTTTTTTCATTTGTTTATTAGCTGGTAAATTGTTTGATATTAGATAATATTAAGTGTGTTTTAAATTGATTTATAGGTGTTTGGTAGAAGTACGTTGCAGGGAGTCTCGTTCAAGCGAGAATTGGATAAACTTAGCCCAACTGTCCTCTCGTTCAGATGAGATGATCTCGCTCAAGCAAGCATAAATCTCACCCAAGCGAAATGAGTCATTCAAGTGAAGACTCAGGAAAAATGGCCAACTCTCTGGACATCTTCTCGCTTAAGCAAAAATAGTTAAAAAAGCTTGGAGGAACCACTGCCTGGTATTTTTGCCCAGGCGAGAAAGGGCTTGCTCATGCTATAATTGTCTCGCTCAAGTGAGAGCACAAAAGAATCCAAAGACATTTAAGAAATTCCAGCCTAGAACTTGCATTACAATCCAAGAAATCTTTTCTAACTCTTTTTCTCTGAACTTTTTCGTCTCTCCTACAGAGAAAAGCATCTAAACTCTAAAGTTACTCCAAATCTTAGCTTAAAATCTCAACTCTATAGAATCGTTGGTGAATATCTCAGAGCTTGACTCTTCATTCTCACATCTATTTTCTTTGTTTTCTCTCTTTTCAAAGAGTACTATTCTCTATAATATGTAGGAATATCTTAGCTTGTTGGACCACCTTTTCCACTAACTCCATCACTAAATTTGTCTATTAAGGTAAGGAGAGATTTATTTCATTACTAATAACATGATATGTTGTGCTCATGTGGATGTGGTTGTGTGTTTCTTGTTTTTGAATATATGTTTGAACGAGCTCGTTGATAAAATGTGCTTTTCTTACTCTTGATGAC